TCCTGCGTTGGTCTGTCATAGGACCTTGTGATGAATTTTTCGATTGCAGTTCTACTCTTCTGATTTACAATATTTACCGATAACTTCTCATATGATAGATCATCTTGGAGTAAAAAGGGCTCGTCGGACAAGATGTATGAGGGATATGGGTTGTACTTGCGTAGCATAGATACATGTAACATATTATGAAACTTATATAGTTCTGGAGGTAGTGTCAGTCTATATGCGATTGTACTAATCCAGTCTAAGATCTTAAATGGTCCGATGAACCAGAGATTTAATTTCTCTCTCTTACCAAACCTATTGATCCCTTTGAAATGGGTAACCTTGAGGAATACTCGATCACCTTTCTCAAATTTCAAATTCTTCTTTCAAACGTCCACATAACTTTTCTGTCTACTCTGAGTCGTCTGGATGTTTTTCTTGATCTTAACTATCTTGGTTGTACTCTTCTTCACAAGATCTAGATTGAATAATTTCCTATTACCCACCTACTCCCAACAGATTAGTGATCTGCATGGACGGTCATACAATGCTTGATACGGAGTTATGCTAATACTTGTCTGATAATTGTTGTTATAGATGAACTATATCAAAAGTAGGTAATTATCTCAATGGCCTCCAAAGTCTAGAACACAAGTTCGGAGTATATTTTCTAGTGTGCGAATCATCCTCTCTAGTTATCCATCAGTTTGAGGGCGGAATGCGGTGCTCCAGCGGTGGCTCCGCCGCTCATGACAACAGTTCGCCTCGATCTAGCCAGTTTTGGCCAATTTTGTACGTATCCTTGCAGAAAAATAGGTTATGGGGGCTCAGTTGCCCAGAAAATCACAAAAACGGGGGAGGGGGGGGGGGGACCTCCAGGTACGGTGGCTCCGCCAGTCCTCCTTCGCAGCTGAGATTCTTTCTTCGACTAACCTATACAAAAAAGGACGATAAACACAATGACAAAAAATCACGTGAAATGGGATACGAGAAGGGGCTCATCGGAGGTATTTCGAGGTTTTAGATGCAACAGCCCCGCCAGACTTTTTTCTCAGTTTTCGGCTCACCCTCCGTCGTCCCTCTTGCTTGGGTATAGCCACATAGGTGCTTGGAATCAAATTTCGAGCAGGTGATGGTAGCTCCGGTGCGGCGGCAGTCAGTGGTCGGCCTCCTTTTCCAGCGTCTGATTCTTCTTTTCCGACAGGTGCTGACGGTTAGAGTTTGGGTTCCCGTATGATGCAAAGTATTTATACTCATCCCGCATTGATTTAGGTTGTCTATCACTATCGATCTCATTCGTTCGATCGCGCTTAAGGAATAAACGAATCTAAACCGTTAATCGCGATTGATCTCGACTGTCCGATCACACCTAAGGAGAAAACAAATTTGGGTCGTCCACGTGCGCAAGGTCGATCCTGAGTCATCTGATCGCGTGGTACGTAAATCGCCCGCGTGCTCTCCCACATGGTACCGATGTCAGTGTGTCTTGTTACGCAACGTGCTCTGATTCATCGGAGCTGCTGATTGTGCGATACAT